GTTTCAATGCCAATCGACTGCTTTTTACATTACATTAACGATATCACATTTGTCGGACAAAAAACCATGTGGCTTTGGGGAAGGTCCGACGCCATCAACATGTCGCTGTGGCGTCCCTGAGGAAGTTGATACATGTACGAGTGGTTTTGATGCCAATCGACTGTTTTCTATGTTACATTATTGATATCACATAGGTCGGACAAAAATCACGTGGCTTTGGGGGGGGGTCCGACGCCCCCAACATGTCGCTGTGACGTCCCTAAGGAAGTTGACACATGTATATCCGACAAAAATAATTATGAATAACGATGTATTTTTAAAACATGTGCAGTAAATGTCGGACAAATAAAATGAGTATTAAAGTCAGTCGGACAACAAAAGTCGTTTTGATCAATTTCTGCCGAAATTCAGGATCTTCACTCCTGAGATTGCACAAAAAACACGACTGAATATCCATTCTTTCTCACACGCGTGGTTTTGAATGACCGTTTACTGAATAATTTCCGTAAATGCTCGGAGAACTATCAAAAAAACAGATTAGGGAATATGACACAGGGCCCCACAGGTATTTGACTAATATGCATGTTGCGTTAAGGCAAACTAATTTTAATTTTTTCATTGATTGTCTCAAATTTCTTGTCCGACAAATGTGATATCGTTAATGTAATGTAAAAAACTGTCGATTGGTATCAAAAACACACGTACATGTATCAACTTCCTTAGGGACGCCACAGCGACATGTTGAGAGCGTCGGACCCCCCCGAAGCCACGTGATTTTTGTCCGACATATATGATATCGTTAATGTAATACAAAAAACAGTCGATTGGCATTAAAACTACACGTACATGTATCAACTTCCTTAGGGACGCCACATCGACATGTTGGGGGTGTCGGACCTTCCCTAAAGCCGCATGGTTTTTGTCCGACAAATGTGATATCGTTAATGTAATGTAAAAAACAATCGATTGGCATTGAAACTACACGTACATGTCCCCTAAGCTTTTGGCTTCATAAAATATCTATTGGACTTATTGGAGCTTAAAAAAACATTGGTCACATGATACAGATCATCCCGTCTTGTTGCTAGGTTTTTTGTATATTCACGTACAAAGTGCTCCGATTTTTAGTTTTTCAAAGCTCATTTTATTCCTTCTCTAAAGGCTAGAAATACATGTAGTAACATTTTTTGGTAAATCCCGTAAATCCAATAGTTATTGAGATACATCAAGTTACGTTATAGACTTTATGAAATTTGCAAGAAAGGTGCCAGCTAAATCTTTGAAACTGAAGACATAATAATATGAAGAGTTTGTAGGAGGAATTTGGAGTGCTTAATGGCAAGTTTCTCATAAAAGTGAGCGCATAGATATTGTTTTCAACGTTTACAAGGAAAAAAAGTGTGAAAGGGTTTAAGAGGTCCATGCGATCACGGAAACAGCTTGTGGAATATAATATGGAGCCCCAAATGACAACACACCCCTTCCTGTAAATACTGGCGCTTATTGGGCCTCAGGTAAAAACAAAAAGTTGTTGCACTCATACTTTATTAATTGAGTAGGTATCCCGGAAAAAAGATTATGTCACTACGTTAGTTCCCATTTAAACTACGCGTCAATCGAACTCGAACACCCCAATTTTTGGTCACTTTTTGGAAGGCTTTAACTCAAAATCTAGCAGGCCGATTTTGTACAAATTTTCAAGAGTGAAAGGATGCTCTAATTGCTATTTAATTTTCAGTTCTTAATAGATTCCTGGCCACCTGCTAAAAGATACAGGGTGCAAAAGTTTGGGTTCATCCCATTCTGCTGGAGGGAAGGTTAAGTAGACAAACTCATAAGTGACCTCGAAGTTCTCCAATGGTGAAGTTTTGTCCGATGTTCCTTTACGCCACCAAAAGCTTGGTTTTAGGTCCGTTGACCGAAGGCCGGCGCTCTCAACAGCCTGATAGTGATACAAAGAATTCTCTTTGAGCGAACTGACCTTGCTATTACATCGACATCGTCATGATATGCAAGCAGCTGCACCGATTTATAGAATATGGTACCAATTTGTAGCGTGCTGAATGCTGTTTTTTTTTTTTTTTTTTCAAATAATATTTTATGTCATACATCTATGGGTGCTGATTCTGATAGTCTAGCGACTGAAGGCCAGTCACTGTTTCGTTACTATACAGTTTTGCCTGCTCGCCTGCTCGAGAGGAGGCAAAAGTTTCTCCAGCTTTTCAGTAATTTCCGAAAGACCATTTAGTACCTCTTCTGTCCCTTCATTCTAAACGAGAAGGGAGCTCTAAGATCACTGCTCGCTACTCACATTCAGCAGTTTTAAATTTTGTCATTCGACCGGAAAGGTTGATCTTGGCCTGGAGACCGCCATCTTGCCAAGTCCAATATCGATTATCGTTCTCGTGGAAAGAAATACCTTATCAGCCATCAGGCAATAGTTTACCGAAATAAAGTTGCGAAAGGCAATGTTCCGTGAATTACCAAAAAAATGTATATCGAAGGTCTTGTGATTTCCGTTTCATTTGAGTTTGAATATCGAACCCTCTTGTGGGTCTTTTGGGAAGCCCCCATTTTCCAACGAGCCCTCATTTTCGTGGATCCCCATTTTTCCGGGCAGATCGTTTGGCTGGAGCTTGGGCATGGAGATTTTGGAGTGATTTCCTAGAGGAATCAATTTCCTCACGTGTCGATACCTGTCCCTCATCATTTAACGTAGCCTCTTCTAGCTTCAACTACCTACTTTGATTGAGTGAGTAACTTTCATCACCAAGTGACAGAAAGTGATATGCTACTGTGCTCCAATGTTTTCGTTAAAATTTCAATTTTCAATTACGGATTCCTGAAACTGTGAGACTGTGAGATAATTTCTGATTCTCAATTTATTGAATTTATTATTTTATCCTATTTTGACGTTCAAAAATGACATTATTGAACGCATAACATTAAAGGTAAGTAGACTTTTATCACCACAGTGATTTTAAAAAAAATTAACTCACTCTCGGCATTCTTCCTTGTACTTCATTTTTTGAATTTCCACAAAATGGGATAAAATTTTGTATACATCACGTGAGTTAAAATGTTTATTCATTCGAAGAAAATTAACCCACTCGCTAGGACTCCTTGGTTAAACTATCTTCTCATGAATAAACATTCATTTAACTCGCTTGGTGTATAAATAACTATTAAACCTTTAAAAACTTTTGGTAATGCCATATATTTTATAATGTATAGGGTGGGCTCAAAAAACTAGGCTAACGAATTGAAGTGAAACTTTCGAAATTTGAGAAAAATTCAAAATGGCAGGCTTCTTCAAAAATTACCTAGTTTTGGATATAAAAAGGTGATATTCGATATTACAAAAATTTCAATATTTCACTTAGTTTTCAACCGATTTTTCCCATCGCGGTGTTAAAATGTTCGCAAAATGATGAGCTTTAAGAATTTATCAGAGAAAATTACACAGGGGGTCACAAAAAAGTTCCAGCGCTATCCAAAGTTAGGTAATTTATGAAGAAGTCCGCCATTTTGATTTTTTCTCAAATTTCAAAAGTTTCACTTTAATTCGTTAGCCTGTTCAATTCTCTTTCAAGCAAGCCAAAACGAAAGTAAATTTGCCAACAACAAAAAAGTTACAGCTCAAAAACAAAATTCCGTTTTTTTTCAAGCCCACCCTATACATAATTGTCGCTGATCTCGCATACTGGCTTAAGCGACATTCGCTAAATTTTACAGGAGACCGAATTGAATAAATCAACTTCTAATATGGTGCATATTAATCCAAAAATAATTGGATAGTATATCCATTCATATTATATGTAAGTACACTAAGGGTTTAGATAAAAACTATAATATTCAAATCGATAGACCTTAATTCTAATGTTTTAAAAAAGGCACTAAATGGACATACGCCTCTCTGCCAGATTCCTATTGGGTCGATATGTCAGATACGCCTTGGATGGCAATATGCACGAATGACAATAAGTAGAGACTAACCGTTGTTATTTAAAGAAAATTAAAGGAAACTGGTATTTCAAATCAACGAGAAATATTTTAATTGAAACCAAACACACTTAACAACCTATTTTAAACGAATTCATTCTTCTGAACTGGAACAAAATTAGCACTAATTATTATTACGAGGAAGATCCCTGAAATTTTTTTGAAAATGTTCATTTCGCACAACTGGTGTTCCTCCTCCACAAATTTGAACTAGGTCATTGTATTTTTTTGCATCCAATTTTATGGAACCATCCATTATTAAGTTTCAATAAAAGTTGGTTCATCACTTCCAAAGCGTTGAGAGTATAGTAATTTTCGGCAAGATGACTGTTTTTCACAAAAAGACACGTATTTTGATGTTTGTTGACCATAACTTCTCTGACCTTTGTCCACTCAACATCTTCACTAGAGTCAAATTTTCTTATTGAACGAATTCTAACTTTTTCAGCCAGGGCCTTGTAGTTATAGAAATCATCACTACTCATTGTGATTACGTTATTGGGCATCGCTCTTCTGGCTAGTTTTAAAATAGGGGGTAGTTGAATATATTAATATATATCTCCTGCTGAAGATATGGCATGAGAAATTGAGCTGTGCGCAGAATCGCCCTCGCTCTGATCATAATTCGTTTCAAAGTAACTTAGAACGATTTTTTCCATATTTTTTGCATTTGTAATTACGTATAGCATCATACCTAAAACAATAGTGTTGCGGTTTTGGTCGCTCTTCAGCCATCTGCAAATAACCCGACTTCCTTGATCCCCCGATTGTCTAGCTCATTTAGAAATCTTGCTACACATGTTGATATTTCGCTAGCCCCTCGCTTACTAATAGTTTCATCCCAAAAGAAACAATAGCATTCTTTATTTCCGATATTGTAAATTGTGAAATTGATTGAAGAGATGCGGCGACGAAAAAATAAGGCACTCTCTTTACTTTTTGGAAGCTGTATGTTGAAGGTCAAAAACAGCAGCAACCAAAACGCTAGGATTTAACTTTCATGTTTCCTTGGCTTCTTCCTTTTTCCTGCGAACAGATATCTTTTCAGCAGTATGATTATTATAAGCATCCTCAGGTTCTAGTTTTCTTTTTTCATCAGCTTGCCTGTATGCCAAACACAAACTACATTGATCCTTCTTAGGAGGATGAAAGGAAAGATTTAAAGATTTAAAAATCCGTCGATATGTATGATAACTACATTGTGGTTGGTTGATATTATCGTTTTGGTAAAAATAGTGAATTTTCTCCACTGTCAAATATTGGTGTAAGTACTCTCGTGTAGAGGACTGCCTACACGAATGTGACTCCATTCTAGGAAATTTCTGAATTTGTTCTAATGCTGCAGCTCTCATTTTTGCATCGTTTTCTTCCAACATTTCATGTCGTCCTCCTCGTCTGTCGGGCTCTACTATCTCTTCTTCTGTTCTCTTAGATAAAGCCGTACGCATTGTCTTTTCTGAATTTCCCAACATGTTTAAAAACATTGTTTCACAAACTAAGGACACTCCGTCACTTTTAGGGAAGTGGTATTCAAATGTTTTCGACCTACGTGAAACTTCTTTGTCTGTTAAGCCTTTGGTACGTGTCGTACAATAAACTCCCTTTATTACTGTAAGCTCTTTGTACCATAAAAAGCGTTGTATATTTTCTGCCTTTGCACATCACTAATGCTGCACACTTTACTCTTGCATTTTTCACTACTACAACGAGGTTTCAGCCCTTTAGCCAATACAGCCTTTCCAGAGGTGCTACTGACATAAGCTTCTCCCGCTATTCTCTTATCATGTGCTATGTTCCTTTTATCGCCCTTTCTCAATTTATCAAAGGGTTCTTCCCTTTGTTCTCCATCCACAGCATATCTGCGAATCTCTAAGTTAGTTTTCATACCTTTGGCGTTTGGAGGGCAAAATTGGCGGTACATTTTCCTCATTTTCGGAAGAAACGTTGTCAACATGTGCAGTACAGGTTTCGTTGTTGATGAAATGTTCCCAACAAAGCAACTCAGAACATCATTCACATGCTGCCCATATTTCATTTCTACAGTTTCTAAATGCACAGCTCGCTCTTTAGGTGGGGTCGTGATCGCTCTTAGTAGATTTATATTGCTCAGGTTCTCTTTCAACACAATTGTCTGAAAACTTCCTGCAAACTGGAGAAGTTGTTTTAGGGGTTTGTCTTACAACACTCAGTAGAATATTTTGGACACATTTACTGCCAGGTTGTAACTGGCTCAGCAACACTAAAAGCACTCTTGTATTTTTCCTGTTTCCTGTCGTCATTATCCGTTATTTCCTTTGCACTTCTCGAATTTTTCGGGAACTTTTTATAAACTGAAGAAGCTCTTTTGATGTTTTGTTTCAAAATACTGAGAGGCAAATCGTCATCTTCGTCACTTTCCATTCTGTTTTCTGTTTGTATCATTGTCCCAAAATAATATTTGTCTTCTTGAAGCCCGTACATTTTATAACTAACACCACTATAAATATCAGTGTTTTTCTCTACAGTCTCGAGTTCAGTAGACAGTATTTTACCTTATTTTATAATAATTGATATTATGTATAAATTTTTTACATTCACATTATGACATGAACACGTCATTTGTAATTTTTGCCTATACGTCAATATTGCTAAATAACTGATTATTCTTTCACTAGAGATGGAATGAAGCTTTTCTATGATCAAATACGTCGGAATGGAAAAATTCTCTAATAGTCGTAGAAACAATGTTTTTCAACCTTTTTTGTTTCGCTAATGCAAGAATCTGTTCATTTTTTACATTGGGGCATATCACAGAATACTGCTTACAAAAAATCCAGCGGAAAGGCGTAAGTCGATCTTATCGATTTACGCCTCTTTGTTAGATTTCGTTTTCAAATTGATGAGGCTTTCGTTCAGTGAAAATGTGACTTTATTATTAGCCTCGAAGGAATGTATGTACGCCTGTGTACCAGATCATAGATTAACCGACTGGGAATCTTTTGGTGCTCTCAACATACATCTTGAAATTTTGGCGCTTACGCCAGTTTGCCAGATCAGCGACGATATATTTCATTAATCTGAATTGAAGTCAAGGTTGGACAATATGTAACAATTTAGTCATTAAGTATGCATTTACATCTTCAAAAATTGATCAATTTTTCACTATTTATATACTCGAAGATTTAACCATTTAACCTAACCTTTGACTTCATACAGTTTTAAGTCAATTTTATTGAATTTATCTTATAAGCAGAGGCTGGTCATAACCATCCATCAAACATTACAATTTTCTGGAAACTTGAAGCTTTCATGTTCTTATTTATAACTCAAGTTGAGTTACTAACAACCAACAATTTCATATTTTTAACTTTTACTGCTTGACTGATTTTTATTCTCCTTAATGTGAATCTGATGGAAATATGCACTAATTTAATGTGGAAATTACTTGGTTGTTTTATTGGTTTTACCTATGTCAAGATTTGGTTGAGTTGTATGCCTTATTTACTTTTTTTTCAGTATTATTCAATACCGTTGACTAATTATTTTTATAGGTATGTTTCTGGATATTTACACTTCAATATTTTACGTAATTTATTTAGTTATTTATTTTTACAAATTCAGTGGCGCCCTTGCTATTCTGTACATACTATTGACCCACCCCTAAGAATTATTCGCTGAGTAAACTGAGTATATTATTGGCTTGTATTGATCCGGTAATCTTTCACAACTTTTTCGAGAGCAATGTTAAAGAGCAAACAAGCACTGCGATTTTTCTGGTCGACGCCTATGGTTTTACTGGCTGCTATTTGCAGTGCATTCTTGCACGCTTCCTACTGTTCATTCAGGCATAGGGTATAGATTTTTTCCAATCTTTTAGAAGCTCTATATTTTATTTTATGAATCTGGTACCCTTTTCCTTTTCAGTATCATTTATTCGCATGCGCTCCTAAGGTAATGATCAGAGTCGATGTTTGTGTCTCCGTAGCTTCTAGGTATAACATCTAGTAGATTTGATAGGTGCCTAACATCAATCAGGAAGTGATGTATTTGGTTGTATGCCCATCAGGCTTTCCTTGTCGCTTTCTGTATATTTTTGTGACTGAATTTGGTGCTGCCAACAAACATGCTCTTAGAGAGGCTGCAAATTTAATAACTCTATTGTCGTTGTCGTTACTTAACTCATGTTAGTTATTTCCATTCCATTTTGGTATTCAGGTCTCCCAGTATTATTTCAATGTAACGCCTAGGGCATCTGTTATATGCATTCTCAAGTTGGTCATAGAATACATCCTTTTCATTGTTAAATTTTTCCTCTCTCTAACTTCTTTAATTACAATGAAAGCGGTGCCAAACTGGTGTTACTTTTCAAGGCAGTGCCTGTTTCAGTCCATCGAATCTTGGATGTGTGTTATATCCTATAAGTACATATACCATTATATACTCTCCAAGTGCTTTTACAGCTCCTGCTCTGTATGGTGTTCTTACATTCCATGTAAATAATCTCAAGTCTTCAACCATACCATACTATACCTATGTTTTAAATCCTGTTATTCCTATTATAAATACTTTGGATAGTGTTTGGTTAGCTATATCTTTTATGCACTTCAGGGATTAAAAATACCCTTTTAATCCCTGTTTCAAGGGAGTAAAGTGGGTCTTTTAATCCCCGGGATTAAATTTCACTTTATTTCCAGGGATTAAATTTTTACTTTATTTCCCGGGGATTAAAAGTACCCTTCTATTCCCTGTTTCATTTAATCCCGGGAAATAAAGTAAAGTGCATAAAATAGTATATACACCTCAGGACTAAAGTGTTTTTCAATCCCTCGACAAATTATAAACTTTTTGTCTCGGGATTAAAAGTACAACTTTAGTCCCTAGGTGTATAATGTACTATTAAAGCTCTCTACTGATTTTTGAAATTATTTTTCTAGGCCTGGAAATCTGTTTCGCTTTCAACATTCAGAAATTAATTAATTTATTTCCTACTGAACTATTATAACCATATAATACCTTGGTTACGATAATCATAAACAGGTTCTTAACTCCCGCGCGGGAGTTAAGGATTTCCATAACTCCCGCTTTTACCTTGAATAGGTGAAACTTTGACAAAAAATAGAAATTTTGGTTTATGGTTTATTCCTTTATAAAAATGGACAAAATACAGTAAATTCAGTAGGAAATAAAATGATCTATGTACCACGGGAATTATCAGGTGTTAATACCCACGGGCAATTGGTGCACACACAAACTTTGTCCTGGGGTATTAACACCCTCATAATTCCCTTGATACATAAATAACTACTAACCCCTCCAGCTAATATTCCTGAACTAAGTAGACAGAAAAACAAATTTCATCCCATACGAAATCTAAAGTTTGCAGAAAATTAGACTTCTTGTGCATATTTGGAAATGTGTGCGACAATATGGCATGAGAAATTAGGTTTTAGATAATTTTTTGAGTTTGTCACCATGCATTTTTGCTCCGAATGAAAATAATTATGTAGCAACAAATCAAATCGGAAATAAGAGCACAAAGTACTGCTTCGACTAAGGGCTCTACCGCTATCCAGTTATTAAATAAAGCCAAAAAAATGATGCGAAAAGTAAAATAAAGCCACTTACATAAATGTGTTTGTGTTTGTAGAATATATATTATCATTATCATATCCATATTTAATTTATTTTCGACAGCTCTGCTCTTCTGAGAGCTTTCGTAAATTTTTCTCTTCTTTCGTGAGCCAAGGGAATAACCCTGCCATTATTGTAAAAAGTGAATGGAAATTTATGAAGGATTCCCTTGCGCTATTGCTAGCTCAATGGGGTCCTTACACAATGTAATATATTATTTGTTGCATGTTCATGAATATCCCTTATTTTTATTCCACTTTTTCAATATCTAGATTCTAGATTCTCAGCTATAGGTAATCAGTTAAATCCTATTGGACTTTCGTGATTAATGCTACCGCTCGTTTTTCCTACGCGTCCAGAAGAGGAGAAGCTGCCAAGAAGAAACTTGTGAGAGGAAAATCCCTTCCTTAGGTATATGTTATTATTTTTTAAATAATAATAATAACTTGAGACATCTGGATTCATTATAATATTTCACCTTGTAAATTAATGAACAACATTTGCAGTGGCGTAGCAAGGTCCTCATGGGCCCGAGCGCAAACTTTCTAATAGCCCCCCCCCCCAAAAAAAAATAATAATAATTTTGTGGAGCGTCAGGTTGGGGGCGTCGGACCTTCCCCAAAGTCAAGTGATTTTTGTCCAACAAATTTGATGTGATGTAGAAAACAGTCGATTGGAATTAAAACTACACGTATTGTCCGTCGTTTTTAATCTGACACTTTCCGTATGAGGACTGAGGAGCGAGGGGGTGAAGCATAAGGCAAAAACAGATGTGACGTCAGGTGATCATTGGCGTTCTAACGTAGGGAGCCACCTCACATTCCTTTGGAGTATCAGATTGAAAATAACGAACTGTACATGCATCACCTTCCTTATGCCGGCTTTCCACCAAACGGACTGTTGAGTTTGTGTTTTAAAACATGTTTTAAAACTCGAAATTAACCCGAAAAACAAAATTCCAACTGTCACGCTAATCTTGAAAATGTTTGGGAAAAGTTAGAGTTTTGTCTGACTTTAAGTTTTGTTTTTGTTTTGTCGGTTTGGTGGAAAACCGGCATTAGGGACGTCAGCGACAACTTTACGAAGAGCCAGCGCGAAAATGTTCCAACGCTCAGGTTGAAGATATGAAAAAAAATTGTCCGACTTGGTTTTATGAAGCCGCTCAAGGGACCTTATTGGAGCAGCGTTCTCAGGAGAACGAGTGTTCCTTATTTCTTAATGATATACAACTGGGTCCTTATTCTTGAAACAGGGGAGTAGCGTTTCCAAGAGAACGAGTGTTCCGTCTTTCTCAATTATGTGATATGCAAA